ATTGAAAAAAAATAAAAGTTTAAGGACTATAATGACTCTCTTAAAGATTGCAATTGATACAAATCTAAACCTATAGGGGCTTAATTGAACAGTTGGAGCAGACGACATAACCAATTCGGGATCAACCCGAACGATATGTCTTCCAAGTGCTTCCAAATCCTGGACATGGCGTGCTTGTCATGTACTCTACCATTCTCCGGCCACTATTCATCTCCATCAGTAGCTAAAGGGACAAACCCCCTACACATCTCCTACAATCCCTGGACAAATCTCCTACAACTAAGTCCTGCAACCTTTATTGATTATTTTAATAGGGATTAGTGTTAACCTAAATCAATCCTGGTTTAATAATTAAGTCGTTCTCCAACATACTTAGTTATGTCAAGACTTAAAATATATCAATCGTTGAATTGACGTATCTTTCGACGAAAGAATTTAACGATTGGTTCAATATGATGCTATAAATAAAAGTAAAAAAATTAGCTTGGCCTAGGAAATAAAGCTTAGATTTTTTACTAGGATTAGTTTTGGCAAAAATAAGAAATTTTAGGAGAAAAATGTTAGGACTAAGTTAGACATGGTACATTTTTTTAAGAAATGACACTTTTAGGTGATTAATATCTTTTCAAAAACATAAGTAACTTTTTACCTTAAAATCTCTATACCGAGTGCCCTTTTTAGATTTCTAGTTCTTTAGTACTAGGTGATGATTCCGAAATTAATAAATAACTCATATCTCTAAATAAATAAAATTTCACCAAATAAATCTTAAATAAATTTTTTTGGGAGTCCCACAAACGTTGGGTAGCGACAAACATTTTGTTTTATTTTTTTAATATTTAAAACTAATGAGGTATCTTCGTATTAGTTTTTACATAAATCAAGACTAAATCCATTACTTTTGAGGTTAAACCAACATCAGAATATATTTAGCTTTTGATTGACAATTGGACTAAATGAGCCAAACCTAATACCATTAGAAAACAATTATGACTGATTATCTATGGACGATGGGAATTAAACCTTGGTCTTGGCCAAACCAAGGCAAACCAACATTTGTTTTGAATAACATTTTTTATATAAAAGATCAATAGATGAAGAACAAGTCGAATTACTGGATTCTAATGATAGATTATTTAATTATCCAACTTTTACCAACATGAATAGCAAAGCTTTTCAAATAACAAGTTAGGATCTCCAATTTAAACTGAAGTTTAAACATATCAAATCTAAAAGCATAACATTGCTATATAAAAAAATTAATTATGTTTACAGATTAATTTAAAAAAAAAAAAATCATTTCTTGCTCTTAAGAAATAAGCAATAAGATAAGAAGAATTCCACTAATATAAGAAAGTACAATGAAAAACAATAGAAAAGGGTTTATGGCAAACTTTTTTTAATATGTTGTAGCTTAATTTTAGGGTTCAATAGGAATGTTTCGTGAAGAAAAGGAAAAAAAAAAAAAAACAAAGAGAGAGATTGGGTACTATATATATATATATATTCAAGCACTTTCACATAAAAATAAATGTTCAACAGAAATGATTTACATGCAAGGTAAAAAAAAAAAAAAAGATGGAAGTAGATTCAGAATACATAAGTTCTATAGAATTTTATTCAAAGATAACTATGTTCATAAGACAACAAATATTTTAGTAGTATGTCCCTTTTTTTTCCATAAATAATTAAGTACTTTTCAACCCATTTAGTTGTCAAGTATTAAGAGTTTAGTGTTAATAGTTAATAATTGACAGAGCATGAGAGAAGATCGTATTATCACGAATTTGCCATCTCTAATCAGCTTTTAAATTTGAAAGTATAGATCGGACATCTCTAATTAAAAATTATGGCTTGTAGAAGATATATACAGTGCTAGTCTATTCTTTCAGACTAACTTCTTAAATTAATATAAAATTATCAATCCAATTGATCATATATTGATCTGCTAGACATTTCACATCATTACCTAAGAAAGGATGTATGTCATTTGCTAGGCGGCTCATATCTTTTCTAGCAGACCTAGCTAGGCGGCTCATATCACTAGCTACCTAAAGAAAGGATATATATATATATATATATATATATAGTTCACGGGTTAAAGAGTTGTAAAAGGCAATTTGATTTCAGCTGTGCAACTTGAAAACGTTTTGCATCAAATTTACTATTCCAATCAGCTAATTGACTATCTTTTTTCCGTTAGCTTATTATTAATTAAGGGGTAGTTTGGTATATTTCTCATTTTCTGTTTTTTTTTCTGTTTCTTTATTTATTTTTTAAAAATTAAAAATTTGTTTCGTTAAGTTAGATATTTGATATTAAGTTTAATTCAAAAGACTTAAAATTATGATGGATTACTATTTCTCAACTTTATATATTAAATATTTCATGATTATTTATTCATTCAATATAAGATAAGTTTTTTAATGCTTTTTCTCATTTGCAGTCCATCTTTTAAGATCAGATTCCAGAATCTTTACTAAGTTTGCTAGACTTTTTTATTATTTCATACTATATTAAGTTAGATAATTAAGATTAGATATTTCTATTCAAAAACATAAACCTTATGATGTGATATTTTTTTCAACTTTATATATTAAATATTTATTTAATACGAGATAGGATTGTAACGAGTCGGCTTTTTTTTTTTTTTTTGTTCAAAAAATACACTTAGTTTCAATTGAATACTTGAGTTATTAGGACAAATCCCAAGGCTCATTGAACACAAAACTTGAGAGCTCCTAACCTATTTTCGAGTTGTCATAGATATAATCTCGATCTAACACTTTAGAGCCCCATACACGGGCTCGGGTCTATCCTCGAGGTTTAGAACTCGACCCTCAAACCCAACCTTGTACATCACAAATCCGATCCCCATTCCCACCATAGATACTCCAAAACTAATTTTGACACGAATCTTGAATGATCTAGACTCGATTATCGGGATCCTTAGACTTGGTTTTGGCTTGCAATTGCGGTGACCCACGGACCCATACCTTGTCTTGACCCTAGTTATGGTAGGGGTGTTCACTATTACGTGAAAACCGAATAATCGAAATGCATCGAAATATCAATTTCGGTGTATTTTTGTTTTTTAGAAATTAAAATAAAAAATCGAACCGAAATAATTTTGGTTTTCGGGTTCGGTTTCGATTATTTTCTTTAAAAAAAATTGTTAACCGAAAAACCAAAATTTTTAATATATATATAGCAAATTGAAAAACCATTTCCCCCTAGATGTACTTCCTCCCACAACTTCAAATGTGTTCTTTTTATCTCTATTACAAGTATGAATGTACACAAAATAGCAAACACGTTGCTAGATTTTTTATCGTCTCAATTCAAGGCTTCGTGAATAGATAATTTATTATTCGTTTATCTACTAATGCATTTGTTATTTTTTGTGCACAACTTGGTTTTCTAAGTACTAGTTTGCAAAGTAGAAAGAAACCCACTAAACGAAGATTTCGGGAACTTTAATAGAATCAACCATTTGTATAATAAAATAAAATGGGTAAAATCGAATTACTAAAATCGAAATATTTCAAAATCGAACCCAAAAACCGAATAACATTTCGGTTCAATTTTGGTTTTTTTTTTTTAAATTCGGTTAACTAAAAAATATCCAAAATATTTCAAAACTGAACCGAATGACCAAACGAACACTTCTAAGTTATGGACCTACTTTCGAGTGCCCTAGACAAGATCTCGTATTGAACTCGAATGCCTCGATCCTAGTCCTAGACCGACTCCTTGATGCCCTGGATCTGGTTCCAGACCAACTCTTGGGTGTCCCAAAAGAGATCCTAGCTCAAATCCTGATGCTCTAGACTAGATCCCAGCTCGAATCTAGGTATGATTCATATTTATTTTTTAAATCTCGAACTTGACTTAACTCCTAAAACATATACTTAGAGTAAAAAACTAATTCTAAAAACCACTTTTTATTTCAAAAGTTTTCAAAACTTGTTGTTAATTTATTTTTTCGAAAATAGAAAATGAAAACAAGCAAGTTTTCATATCTTGTTTCCATATATTTGGAAACAAAGAAGAGAAAAAGAAAACGACAAAAATATCAACAGCTCTTCAAAAACGGCAAACTTGAATTAATCATGTCGAGAATGTTTAATTGGTCTTGTAACTTTAGTTAGTAGATGGATTACGATCTAATTTAGAATTCTGGCGCACGCTAATTAATGCCATATTTTATCTTCTCTCGTTGACTAAATAAGACATTTCCCTTATTTATTTCAAGATGTGATTAAGTCAACTTGGAAGAAGTTGAGCCATTGTTTTAGCATGGGATTTTAGGTTCGCGTGTAAAATTTTGGAATTTGGTCAACTATTTTTGAGATACACTAATAATGACCTATAATAATCTCATGGACTAACAAATCTTTGCACGAGATAGTGTTTAGGAAAATACAGTGGAACAAACTGGAAACCAATTGCTGAGGTAACTTAATTATGATCTATATATTCTATTTTATCTGTCATGAAATTCTTTTTAGGTATTTTTTAACTAAATAATTAAGAAAAGGGAAGATAAGAATGAGCAAATAGTTCAATGAGAATACAATCCAATTGGTTGGTGAAGCAGTTTAAAAACAGATGTGTGGATAGGGCATGCTCATGGAAAAATGATTAAAGAGCAATAAACTTGCTTTCTGTTTGCCGTCCCATTGCTTGATTCTATCATTTAGAAGATTATAATTATTGTCTAGGTTACTACCATGGCTTACTTGTTCAAATTCTTGTAACCCTCACCTACCCTCTCATTCTCTTTTTCACACACACGCACACATTAAGCCAATTGCAGTACTTCTCTTAAATTAGGGTTTTGCTCCCTCCATGCCCATCCCCTGTCTAGATTGACTTTTGAAAGTGAGAAATATTTAAATGCAATTAGTATTGTTTCCACCAAAGAAAGAGTTCCTAAATTCCAAACAAAGACAAGTATTTAATCATTGGTTTTGTGGACTTTATGAATTGTCACCAAATTAGTCTTCCCTTTTGTGGGGTTGACATGGAGTAATTGACCCATGTTGAAACATGCTTTTAGTCTTCATGGGGTCCCACATTTCATAACCCTTCAAAATTTTCAGAAGATATGTTTTAGGACATTGATTGAAAGATGGGTCATCCTTTGTCATTTTATGTTTCAGACAAGTCCATAATTACCTCTCTAAACACTTGATTTTCGGATTTGTCTTAGGTAAATGTATTTGAGTTTTTTTAATACTAAATTTCAATGGCAAATTCAGTTTTAGATTTATACAGGTTTTCTCTTTTTGTTATTATCAATTTGAATTTGAATAATTAAAATACATTTGAAAAAAACTAATGTTAATATATTCGAGCTATTAGAAGAGAATTAGTATAAACCATAAGATGATAATCTACTTCTAAGTAAATGTCGATTTATAAATTATGTTTATAATTCGATTCTTGTGATCAATATTTTTAAAATTTTATTTTTAAAATACTTAAAATTTTATATTGAAGAATACTATATTTAATAAAAAATTAGTGGTAAAAATTATTTTGAGAACATCTTTACTGCTGATGACCTAAAAAAAATCAGTACAAGAGCCGATGACTTTTGTGTCTTCTTCCACTTGACAATCAAACTCCTTGGGTAGTACTACTCTTCCTTTTCTTTTCCCTTTTTACTTTTACTAGCCAAGTTCCATTGTACAAAGTTGATCAACCAACGTATCAGTTAGAAATTGACCTTAGTTCAGACTTTTAGTTCAAAGAATCAGTAACATTAATTTTTTTTTAATCAGTAATTTTATTAATATAAAATAAATTATTTTCTTAATATCTATTACAAGAAAAAAGATATGATAAAAACTTTCACATGTTTTGTGAATCATTGTCATCCATGCAACATCCAATTTTTTTATTGACAAAAAATATAGCTCTCAACTTTTTAAACTAAGGTTTTTTTAATCTCTTAAATATTTCATAGGTAAAGACATAAAACTCTCATTCAAAAAAAAAAAAAAATCATACCTACAAAGTATATGTGAAAAAGAGTAAGTTCTAATGGAACGAAATAAGCAAAAGAATAAGAAAAATCTCATCTATATGGAAGAAAATTAAAAAAAAAATCAATAAAAAATAAGGAATAATTGATGGTGTCTAGCTAATTCGAAATTCATTGAGGTTATTATATAGGTCACTCCACAGGCGACCGAGCCACAGCATGAATCATCATTTCATAAAAGAGAAACGGAAACTGCGATGGGTCAATTTTGTGGTAATTGATCGAAGGACTCCAAAAGGTAGCCAAGGAGTTAAAAATAAGATTGTTTATTGTATTGTTTCAGAGATTTTAATTATGGTAGAAAGAGAGAGTCGAGATATGGGTGGGTTGGACCTACTCTTTTTCCTTCATTTTCTCTATTGTCATAATTGCCAAACAAAGAATTCCTTTGCTCTTTTTTTTGTCCACGCAAAATGATCTTCTTCTTCTTTAATTTCCTTTCATCTGTACATAATTAATGTATATACCTCATCCCATATCCTTCGATATTCATTAGATAATATATTTCACAATGAATAAATAAATAAATAATAAATTACTAATGTATAAAGTTAAGAAATAATTATTTATTATAAATTTTAAATCCGATAATATATTTTACAATAAATTACTAATATATAAAATTGAGAAATAACTGTTAATTATAAATTTTAAATCTTTTCGATAAAATTTAATTTCAACTATCTAATTCAATAGTACTCAAATAACACGTCGAACTACTATAAGAAAATATATTTATTTTGGTTATGAATGTTTGTGTTTAATAAATTAATTAACCATGGGAGAAGTACACACCAAATTAGAATCTTTGATGATCATACTAATCCCACATCAACTAAGAATGGAGAATGTAAACTTCTTATAATTATACATATGATTAGGATCAATCTCTATCACTAGCTAAGAGGTGTTCTGAATACAAGAAAATTAAATTTTTGGGATAGTTGTTTGAGAGCCATTTGCATTTTGAGAAAGATCTATAATGTTGGTATATATATATATATTACAATTTTTAGTATAGACAATTGGGAAACGCCTTTTAAAAAATAACTACTCATTTAGTCTCAAAACAAATAAAAATTGATAAAACTTATTTTAACTTAATCTATAAAATTTAAAAATTGAAAAGAGAAAAATTAATTTCTTTTCTAATCTGAAAAAAAATAAACTATATTTTTATCATTTTCTGTGATGACTTCTTTATTTTGGAACTTAAGGAGAGTAAAAAAATTTAAGAAAATGTCATTAAAAGTTGTTTTTGTTGTAGATTATTAAAGATGAAATTAACACAAGTTTCCAAGCAAATAGAACAATACAAGCCTGGTGCAAATTGGACTTGGACCAGCATCATCAAGAGCTATATCAAAAAATGACTCATTTGAAATAGCATGGCTTTTTGACTTTTTTTTTTTTTTCAATTTTTAAAGTGACAAGAACAAAAATTCATATTGGAGGCCTTTGCTTTCACTCAATTTTTTAGAGGAATGAGTGAAAGCCAGTGACTTTTTTTTTTGGGTTTTCTTTTGGATCATGAAAAGCCACTGACTTAATTAAACATCCATTGATGGCTTTTTGACAATTTAATTGGAAAGTATAAGCATTTAGAGAATTTGGTGAAGTTGGGATGGTTAAGTAACTTACCCTGTATGATAGTGCAAACAAACATGCAACAAACGAGAGAATATTCACACAGACAACAGCTTTTTGTATGTATTTGCTGAGCTAATTAATTCATAATTAAGCATGGAAAATAAAATCAGATATGAGTGTTGTCTCATCTATGACCAGTTTAAGCCAAACATAACCATACGTAACCTCTTGTCTTGCAAGAGTCAATATGGCTTTCTTCCAAACACTAAATTCCGAAAGGAAAGTTAAGCTGCTCCCGTTATTCAAGAGACAAAATATCTTATATGAAATTTGGTTATTATCTAAAGTCAAGAATGATGCAAATATTAACAGGCATCTTTTTTTTTATTTTTTTATACTAAAGTGTTTTCAAGCCGGCTCTTATATCAATCGAAACTAAATCTATCACTTTTTAAACTAAATCAACATTAGAATACACTTACCTTTTAATCAATTATTGCTATTTTTTGAGCTAAACAAGTGTCGAACACGTTTAATTTTTGGTTGACTATTAAGCCCTCTTTTAGACCAAATCAGTCCAATTCAATATTATTAAAAAATAACTATGATTAGCTATCCATGAGTAGCGAAAATTAAATTTTAGTCTTGATCAAGTCAAAACAATTCCTTAGTGCTAGATCACATCACTTGGTGGTATAGGCATCTTCTTCTTATTATTATTATTAATGCTTTGAAACAAGTGTTTTTTTATTAAAATTTATTTTTTGGTTTTTTAAAGAAATTTTAAAATACTTAAAAAATAACTATCAATCCTTACTTTTTGATCTACTTTGAGAAAAAGAGACTGATAATAAAAATAAAAATAAAGAGAGAAAATAAAAATATTTTCATTTAGGCTCAAAATTCTTGTTTAACTTTATCTCCTATTTCTTTCTCTTTCTCTCTCTTTTTATCTTTTTCCGATAAAATAAATATTGTTAGTTACTTGTGAAGTAACATAAAAAAAATTTCTGAATTCTCCACTTTAGAAATTGCCTCATTTGGTACCGTTGTCTTTCTTTTGTTTTCTGTTTTTTAAAAATTGTTTTAAAAATTTTACTACTCATAATAAGTTTTATCCCTTCTTCTGTGTTTATAGTTTTTAATTCTTTTACTATTATTCATTATTTCTTTTCCGTAAAAGTTGTTTTTGAAATTTTAAAAATAAAAACAAAAAATATAAAATGACAAAGATACCAAACAAGCCTTATTCATTATTTGGCAATCAAACCGAAGAGGCCTTATTTTCTATTTTAGAAAATAATAAATAATTGAACATATTTATTTTTTATGAAAAAATGATTTTATAATAAAGATAATGGAAAGTGAAAATTCTAAAAATAAATAGGACTAAGTTAATTCTGCCATGATTTTTAAATTCAAAGATTGAACTCAATTAACAAAAAAATAAGGTGTCATTTGATTGCCAAGACTAAAAGATCTAGAATGAAAATGTAAAGAGCAGAATAAAAATTAGAAAAATCATAAAGATATTTTCATTATAATATTATGTTTGAAATAGTATTATATAATCAAAATAAAATTTAAAATTTTTTAATATTTAGATTTTAAGATGAATAAGAATATATTTTTAAGAAAATTGATGTCATGATCATTTATAGGAGGGGAGAGTAGAAGATTGATGGTGGTGGTGTTGGAAGAAAAATATTGATGGAATAATAATAATATTATTTTTTAGTTTTTTTTTATCACCACGATCAATAGAGGTGCTTGGTGTTAATATGGTGGTAGAAGTGATTAATACACAATAAATAAAAATAATGTATCATTGTTTAAAAAAAAAAACCACATTCTCATTTTTCTTTCCATTTCTTATATAAAAATAAAACTATATTTAATTTTCATTATCATTTTCACTCTTTATTTTTATTTTTATATCAATTATTTCAACTAAACACTTATAAAATAAAAATCAATTTTATTTTTATTCTTGCTTTTTTTTTTTTTTTTGGTTACCAAACAACATCTAAAAAAAGTCCTGAAAACCATATAATAATAAATAAATAAAAAGTAAACAGAAACCGAAAGAAATATTGGATAAATTCTTGATTCAAAGTCAATTGTTTCCACACGTTTTTTCAGGTTAATGAACACATCAAGGGCTAGACCTGCACCATTTACAAAAGTCAAGCTTGAACAAAAGTCATAAGTAGTAAACTTATTGCTACCTAATTCAACACGATTTGTGATATCAAATCAAAAAGTTAACTGCAAAATTCAGTTCAATCCGTCCAAACTAAACTAAGAGTCAATTGACTAGGAGGTGATCCTCATCCATGGAATATTATTCTTTTTTTTTTTTTTAATTACCTTGAAACCAGCATGCCTAATCAAAGTTGTTAGCATTATTTTATTTGGGTTGCCAAAAAAAAAAGTAATAATAATTATATATATGCGTGTGCTAGCAATTTAATTAATAATTTAGAATGACTTCTTATCCTCTAATTATTTTAGCAATCTCATAAAATATTCTAACTTAATATACAAGGAGATATTGTGCATATAAGTACAAGGTTTGGTTTGCTTTTCTTCCTGTTTGCTAGTGTTACTTTTTCCCCTAATCTCCGTATAACCTCTAAAATAAACAAGTTTTGTTGAACTACTGATGCAAGTAGAAGATTTGGTCAAATAATTATGATAAAATATATACTCGCTTATCAAGTGTATGTTTTTTTTTTAATATCACATATAATAAAGTACTTTTAGATCAATTTTTACGTCAAACGAGTTTAAATTCTTATTTTCTAGACTAGACGACCGCTAATTGATGTTTAATTTTAGATAAATTTTAAGGATTGGAATGTTTAAATTCATTAACAATTCATGTACAGTGCTATCAAACAAAAACAGAAGAAGAGCTATTCAATTACCTGATGAAGAAGGATATGTTTCTTATATTATAATATAGTAAGCATTGATTTGTCTCTTAAATTGTCATGCTTTAAGACTTCTACTAAACTATTGTGGACTCATCTAGTTAGACCTTTTGTTCAACGGGATTTGATAGCAATTGTGATGTAACGTGCACCTAATCTCGTAACCACACGGCAAGAGAATCAAATAGCAAATTTTCCATGCAAACGAATCCGATAGTCTTTGCAGATGAGATTTGAGACTTAATTCTTCTATCAAGATTTGGATTCAACGGGTCCAAGTCAATTACAGGGAAGAACAAGAGGGTGCCAGGAAAAAAAAAGAGTTTTCTCAGGCGTGGGGGCAGGGGCAGAGGCTCCGAGAGTCTAAGCTGCTTGGTGGTAGGCAGGCTGTGGATGGCAAGTTCTGGCCCAAAGCCCAAATGATTTGTGATCAAACTTTTTTGGAAACAATGAAGAATTTATAAATGGATCGGGCTAGGATTTAAGAGGGTAGACCCAACGAATTATGATACTTCCTTTTGAATGGATATACACAAATTGGGCTAGAGTGAATTGGAAAGAATTTAATTCCATTAGTGTTACACAAATTGAGTTTGAGTGGACATGTCTATGCTTTTATGGGCCTCCACTCCATCCCAAGAACACTAAATCCGTCTTTATATTCGAATTCTTTAGGTAATTTTACTTTTTTTTTCTTTTTTTGATTACACATCAAGGCTTTTAGAAGAACTAATCTACTAAGATTTGAATCTATTACCTCTCATAAGAAAAAACTATTTCTGAACTACAAGCTTTTTAATATTAGATAATTTTACTTATCTCTATCTACATAGAGACAAAAATCCTTCTATACATGTCTCCACTTAAGTAATTGAGATGTCTATAATTATCGTCACTTATCATGGATTAGTTTTCATATATAAAAACTAATTTATCGAAATGATAAATAGTTTTTTCACATCTAAACTAAACATAGGTATTCACATAAAATTCATAATCACATTATTTTTAAATTGAAATTGAAAATAAAAAATAGAGAATAAAACAATCAAACAAATCTCGAATTTTGAAATTTGAATCCCTTAAGCCATGAATATATATCTTCAAAACCTAAAACCAAGGAACAAAGCATTCGAGAATAAGGAAATTTTTCTATCCGTTTTGTAGGTATGCTTTATTTATAGATGTTTTTCCCAAACTAAGGTTTTTTTTTAATCTTTTTATAAAAATATAATTATTATTTTTCTTCTTTACCGTCATTGTCACCTTTTCCAATATTCTTAATTGTTGATTCAAAATCAACAAGATTCAATAGATAACAATGAAATTTCAATCACAGCAACACACAATTCAGATTTTTTTAAAAATTAAGAAAAATATTAGATTAAAGAAACAACACTTACATCTTTTTTCACCAACCATGGATTTAATTTCACCAAAACTTTCATGTTTTAAAAATAATAAAAGTACGAAGTATGTAAATAACATAGAATTCGTTTAATCCTTCTTAAGTACAATACATAATGATAGTTTTATCATTAAAACTAATGTAAATAACATGGAATTCTGGTAAATAAAATTAAAAATGCCTTAATGTAATCAATAAGATTTCAGAAAAAAAAAAAAAAGAATCTTCATTTACATGTATAAAAGCAAGTATGGAAGGACTCGTATTAAAAAAACTAAACCAAAACATAAATTTACTATTTAAGATACCATTCATCCCGACTCATATGCACTATTCATCCACATCGAATGCACTATTCATTTTATTATATAATAATATTTTTTAGTTTTTAAATATTTTTACGATATTTATTATCAAAATTTTCATAATATTACATTTTAATCTTTTTTAAAAATATTATTTTTTTAGTCCGTAAATGTTTTTATTTGATTTTAGTCCCACTTTTTTATTTTATTTTGATCACTTTGAGCCTTATCTTTTTTTCCTCTGATTTTTTTAGTTAAAAATTTTAAGATATAAAGATGTTAAGAAAAAAAATTACAAAATAAGCTTTTAGATAACAATGTGAAAAAAAGAAGTCTTTTAATAAAAAATTGATGAAAATATAAAAAGTGATTAGTTAAATATAAAATTTTAATAAAAAATACTAAATTAAATAAATTTTTATTCAATTTTGATTTTATATATTTTAATAGACATACAACATAAATATCAAAATAAAATAATTTTATATATTTTGGACATCGTAAAAAAAACTAGTTTGTATCAATAAAGGAAGAGGTAAATAACAAACGCTGTCGTTTCAACCGAACAGAAAAGATCTCAACATCTCTACCTTTGCCTTATCTTTTCCAAAACACGCAAACACACCACTCTCGTTCTCTCAATTTCCAATGGCTTCATTTGCCCTCTCATCATCTCTAACACCCAAAACCCTAATCCCTTCACTCTCTAACCCCAAACCCACGTTCCCAACTTCGTTCAAACCCCAATCATGGAATTATCCACAGATGATTTCAGCTCCCAAGATTCAGTATCAGCCCTTGATTACAAGGGCTGCTATAGGTTCAGATTATTCGTCAAGAAGAAGTAACAGCAACAATGACAATAGAGAGACGATATTGTTACCTGGCTGTGATTATAATCATTGGTTGATTGTTATGGAATTCCCTAAAGACCCTGCTCCTACTAGAGAGCAGATGATTGATACTTATCTGAATACTCTTGCAACTGTCCTGGGCAGGTTGGTTTCTTTCTTGTTCTTTTTTAAGGTTTTTGCTGTAAAGGTTGTCTTTTTGTGGTTTTGTTTGTTTTTATTGAGAAATGGAAGTTTTAGTTGATGGGTTTTGTTTGTTTGAATTTTTTTTTTTTTGGTTGGTTCTCCTTACATTGATGGAAAATCAGGATGTGTATGAAAATTCATGTAGTGGAGTTTGTCTTTTGAGGTATATGTTAGTGTTTGTTTGGTTTTGATTGAGAATTGGATGTTTTGTTTGAACGGTTTTGATTTTTTTTTTCTGGATTTTTGTTTGGTTATTTGTACTGATGGACAATTAGGATGTTCATAAGGTTGAGCTATTTGCTTAAAGGTTGTGTATTTTAGTTCCATCGTGTTAGTTGATTATGGATGTATAAAATGTTATTATATCTGACGAGTATTGTGTTTTTGGATGATAATGAGACGAGTTATTGATGTTTATGTGCTGAAGGCTATGTCTTTGTTTTTGTTGATAGTTTGGTTATGTCCGAAAACAGCTTTCATGAGTTTTTTCTGTTCTCTGTTTCTTATTGTTTTTTGTAACGTGGAGAACTGGGGCTTTTATGAAGTTTGTTGTGTTGTCAATATTTCTTTTCGTTTTGCAAATTGAATGGGACTTTCACTGGCCAGTTAATTTGGATACCATTTCGTAGTGGCTTTTTATGTGTTGGCACTTATGTGTTTTTTTCCTCCAGCATGGAAGAGGCAAAGAAAAATATGTATGCTTTTAGCACCACCACCTACACTGGGTTCCAATGCACTGTAGATGAAGCCACATCTGAGAAATTTAAGGGTAAGAAATTATTTTAACATAGGTTTCAACTTTCCTTTTTTTCATGTTGTTTAGCATAATATTATGGTAAATTACGAAGAATTTATTTGTATCTTCTTTATATGTAGGTTTGCCTGGGGTCCTCTGGGTACTGCCAGACTCGTACATAGATGTTAAAAACAAAGATTATGGAGGTGCCTTACTTAATCAGTTTATCCGTTATTGTTATGTTTCTTAGCATATGTACCCATGTGGAATTGTGGATGTTATGATGGATCCCTTCATCCACTTTTCATTTTTCATTTTGTTTTAGGAGACAAGTATGTCAATGGGGAGATTATTCCCTGCACATATCCTACTTATCAACCCAAGCAACGCACTACTTCAAAGTATGAGAATAGAAGGTATGAGAGACGGAGAGATGGACCACCTCCAGACCGAAGAAGACCAAGACAGGGGACAACCAAGCCAGAGTCAGCCTCTACTTGAGTCAGTAAAATTTATGTTGCCTTCTATGAGATTTAGTTTCCCTGTTTCAGTCTTTGTTATTGTAATTTTTGATATTGTGAGTGATTCACCAAATGGACTTTCATTTATGCAAACCTCGTTACACATTTTATTTTCTTCATCCCTCCATGCAGGTATTTAGTGTTTTAGATTCTAGTTCATATGTTTCAATTTTTCAAAGCATTGCAATTGATCTAGATTGGTGTTGTTTTGCAGGCTATTAATGTTTTAATGTCAAAGTAGATGGCATTTTCAGGAGTCCTTGGACCATTCTTCGCCATGTTGTGGGTGTGAAATTATGCATGCATATTTGAACCTTGAGGTTAGAAACTCTGTTTATATAGTGATCTGGTCAGTGCATGAAACGTGTCAGGGCAGATGATTTATTCTGTTTCGATGAATATGAAGTGTTGTTTATCAGTGTTCCGTGAAGAGGGAGCTTTTATTTGTAAAGATGCGTTAGAAAATTTTGATTTTCCTCTGTTTTATGTGGTTGGATTATTTTTTGTGTGATTTTAGTTCTTTCCTTTCCTTTGCATCACAACAGCTTAAGCTTTACCTCCAATTTGATGCAATCTGGTGCAGCTAGTCTAAGCTTGTTGAATTTATGTTCCCACATTTGCCTAACATTAATAAGTTTGTGAATTGAAATGTTCAAAATTCCAGAAACAAAACCTTTTGTTGCAGCATTTACTTGAATGTTCTTTCAAAAGCACAATTCTGACGTCTACTGCTAGGTTATTTTACGGCTTATATGGAATTAATTCCAGGCATTTCTCAACAGAATTTGTTTTGATTTTGATGGCATTGGTATGTTCACAGGACGTGAACTTAACTATTCTACTTGTATGCTAAAGAAGGGTTAAGGTTCTATGCGTACTTCTACTCTTGATTTTTTTACTAGTTCTCCCCACCCACCCCTCTCCTCTCTATTTTTATATCTTTTAATATCCCTTCTCTACTTTCAAATTCATCTAGTTTGACTGGAACCCACCCATGGTCTCGGGACAATCAGCCAGTAACCTACGTAATATGTTGACATGTGTACAAATCTTTTCTTTGTTTTTTCTTTTGCCTTTTCTTCTTCGTCTTCTTCCTCCACCAGGGATGCATGAGAATAGAGGATCGAGTCTCTGTGCATTGATGGTCTGTCTTGACATTTTTTTTTCTTTGTCACATACTGATATACGTTAACTTCACTCTGATATGTGTTAACTGTTAGAGCCAGATAGCAAGAAGCCAGTTCTAGGTTAGCAGAAATTAGTAAATCTAAAGAGATATCAAACAAGAGAGCCTGGCTTTTATATCTTGAGATGTTTAACATTATGAGAATTGTCTCTGTTGAAGGAAAATTTGGGTGCAACCAACTTTGATTGTTGTTTCATTTTCAGAATGACATTCCCTGCTTAATCACTACATCAAGTGATTTCAGACACATTGATACTTGTAATCTTTGATGTCTCGTTTTCTTGACTTTGAGCCTTAGGAAATTATAGCTGCATCTCATGAACTAAGCAATTCCTCCACATAATAGCCTTACGAGATAAGTTTAATACCATCCCCAACATGTTTTTACCCCAATTACCAAGTTGTTAGTTTGAAGTTTCTTCATTTGGAAGCATACTGTAGATGTTTTGTTTTGTTATCACGCACAAGGTTCTCATAAGTATGCTTATTGCAGCCCTGCCCTCTCCTTAGCTATGTGTGTTTTCCTTTGGCCGTCATATATGTTAAGGTCTCTCGCCTAACTGTAACAGTCACAATATGTATCTTGGTCAAACATTCATTGATGCAAGCCAGTTTATTGCTTAGTGTTTGAACAAACACCTTAGAAGTGAACTGCAATTTCTTTGTGGTGTCAATGTAAGCAATTGATGTTAAAGAACATCACCATATGTCCTACAGGAAGGCCATATACTGTGGCCTTTCGATCCTTATTTTCACAAAAAAAAAATTGACCCTTATCATTTTTTGCCTGTCCTTGTTTGCCACCAACTGTACCTCACAAATGGGGAACAAAACAGAATGAGGTCCCTTGTGCGTTTAAATGTGGGACTGATCTTTGCATCTGTATTGGTTATTTTGGGTTGAAAAAAAGGCTCACGTTTGGTAATGATTGTGGTTAGGTAGCAAGCTGAGTTGACGAACAATCAATTCGTGTTTGTTACATTTAAATTGTTTGTGTTTATTGTTATTGGTTATGTGGGTTTGTATGGAGAGAGAGAGAAGGAAGAAGAAGAAAAATGATGATTTTGGTTATGGAAGAGGAGGGGAGAAAAAGAAAAAGGAAAAATTAAATAAAAATGGATTCGAACACATGCCAATATCTTAGGTAGTCATGAGTTCCAGTCAAATAATAAAGATCCAATCAAAATCAATGATAATAAGACAAATGATGAATTTGAAAAAAAAAAAAAAAGGATTTAAGACAAATAAAAATAGAGGGAAAAAATTAACAAAAACATCTAAAACAAAATTTAAAAAAAAATGCTGTACACAACACTGTTTATTGCCTCGCAAAATACCATTCAAAGAGCGTAAATTGAGCAATGGCATGTTTGTGAATTTCAGAACTTTTTGGGGCATTTTATACACTATTTTATAATGGTATTTTCATTAATTTCAATATTTTTGTGGTATTTTATATGCTGTCTCACGAAATACTATTTACTACCGTGCATTATATTGCATTATTTATTACTCCACAAAAAACTTTTTATATGTAACGTTTTGCAAACATTGCATTTTGATTCTTAATTTTTGATTTTGGAGTAAAATTTATAACATAGTTGTTTTTTTTTAAAAAAAAATCGATATAATTTAGATAATTTATTCTTATAATTTTTTAATTATAGTACATGATATATATAATTTGTCAGAAATGTATTTTTTTATTTATTAAAAGTGTGTGTAAGATAATTTGTTTCGAATTAAAAAAAAATTAAAATAATTAATTAATAATTGAAAGTTAAATGTAAGGAAAAAAAAACAAACAAAAAGATAACTATTATGAGTGTGAGACCTGTGCAAAAGGATTGATGGTTTAGAAATTAAAAATGTATCTATATTTTAGGTAAACAAGAAGAAGAGGAGGAATTCACATGTTTTATTTAGTTATTCTTTATAGAATCAAAGTTTACCAAATTTATTTTTTTAATAATTTTTATTTTAATCTATGAATTTTCAATTTATCAATATATTATTACAAGAGAACTTTTTTTTCTAATATCTTTTGTTTTACATTGCATATCTTAAATCCTCTCTGTGTATTTATAAAAATCAACTATGCAACTATCGAATACTAAGCATTTACTATTTATTTATTTTTTAAATATTTTAAATCAATTTTTAAAATTAAATTTATGAAGTAATATTTTTGCATAACTACCCAATAATTCAAATATAGTTTTTTTTATTTTAATATTATTGATTATTTTTGTAAATAAATATATAAAAATAAAATATACATACTTTCGAAAACTAATATTCTGATCTTTGTTCCCTTCCGTTTTTATCTTCTCTCATCTTTTCTTTCAAAAGCCCAATTCATTTTATAATATCCCATAAATCCTTAAAGCACCAAAAATAAATAAAAAGTAGTGTTTGAAAAAGGTCACTTGGTTGTTCGCTTCAGTCAGCTATTCAACAGTCGAATTTCAACCTTAGAGCCTTTTTTAATAAAAAATCACACAACTTAATTTAGGGTGAAGATTAGAAATTTTAACTTATAGGAGCTGAAGTGGAACTTTGCTGAATTATTGATAAAAGATAGTTTGCCCACACCTGACCCCTCTATCATGAAATTGTACTGTATAAATTAGTTCCTCTAGTTTTAAGAAACAAATTAATTAGTCCTCTTTGTTTTAAAAATTATTATTTAGTCACTAATCAATGTTAAACATGTTTAATTTAATATTATTTTTATTTCATAAAATCTCTTATTTTATCTTTTGATTATATATATATATATATATATATATATATTTAAAAAAATAAAAAGGATAAAAAAGGATTAAATTACAATAAAATTTCAAAACACGAGATTAAATAATTAATTTTTGAGACAATGACTGATTAATTTGTTTTTCAAAATGAGAGGGATTAATTTATAATTCATTATGCGATAAGACTATCTAAACTATTGCTCAAGCGAAAAAAAAAATTATAATTATTTTTTTTTATCTGATTTGGATTCTCGATTTTAATTTTTCAGTTTGTAATTAAGTGTTTTATTTTTTTGTCATGTTAACCAATTTCAATTAACAATTTCAAACTATTTTAGATGCACGTAAAAAGCACATGGATCATAAAATAACTGCATGTGTTCCATATTTAGGTTTTTTAGAACACATGTCGTTATTTTAATGATTTTATATATTTCTCATGTGGTCTGAAATTGATGAACCAGATAAAAAATTTTAGTTACAGACTAAAAAAAAATCAAAGACCTAAATAAAAAAAATAATAATTTTTTTATTAATAGTTTAAGATATTTTATAACCAATTATTCTTATAATCATTGGCTTCTGTAGCGTTGATAAAACTTTGATTTAGACAATGGTGGTGGATAGTGGGAGTTTTTTTTTGTATAGATCAGAAGTGATCTTATTACAGGAAACAATGAATCCGTTCCAAAGTACATGGGACAAAGGAAAGCTAATACAGAAAATCCAATGACTGCTGGAGGAAGAACCAACAATGTAATGATGGGATAGGCAAGCATGAACAGCATGACTAAGAAACATGAATATTACAGAACAGCATAAACAAGTTTGAAGAGGTTGTCATTTGTTTTTGTTTACACCGTTTATTTTCTTTTATTCATCAGAGGCCCAGCTGATTTATTGGCTATACAATGAGATAGCCCTCCTCTTTACATAATTATCAAAGAAACTGAAATCATCAAAACTCAAACTTTCCTTCGCTAGAAAAGCCTAGAAAAGTTAGCTGTATACACAACTACTGTACTAAACCTGCCGGTG